AATATACAAAGCAATTGCTACCATTCTGAACACAAAGCAGCTAATATGTACATAGTGTTAATAAAATGCATTGTAACTCAGTACATTTTTTTCTTTACACATAAAGCACAAAGATTTAGGTTAAAAAAATTAAAACAGGGATGTTTCTAGAATGTAGGGAATTTTATTAGAAATGTATTTCCCTCATTATAGTTATGTATTTAGTATTCAACTCCAATAGAAATATCAGAGTTAAAAATCAATACCCTGTTTTGTGCTGATATTTTGGGGGGAAGTATTCTTTACCCCAATCCTCAAGGAAAAACCAAAAAGCCAAACATCAAACCCTCTAGGAATTTCCCTGATCATTTTGTTTTAAAAAGTTTCAAATGATACATACAGGTTAGAAATAATTCCTCTTGGGGGAGGGTTCAACTGACAAGGACAGATCAGTCAAGGACAATTTTACATGGAAAACTGCTACTAGCACTCTTCTTTGCCACCTCTAATAAATCTATACTCAAAAAAAATGACAAATTATTTCCCACTTTTAATATAAATAATTTTATTACATACACAAATTGGAGTGGCACCTGGATAAAAATACATCTATAAAGCATTTACCAATTCAATTTTAAAAACATAAGAAAATAAAACCTCCCAAACACAATGATAAATCATTTCACTTGGGCAACTAACGTAAGATCATTATTTGCAGGGATTTTCTTCCTTCCCTACCAATTTTAAACTATCTTAGATTTACTCTCACATCTCACTCCTCAGAAGGAAGCTTGGAAATGCCATGCTTCGATAGGCAACTATTAAATAATGCCATATAAAGTAGGTAAAATTTGAATTTCCTACTGTTTGATTCTTTTTAAAGACATTTCCTGAAGATTGTTCATTTTCCTTTTACTTGCTGGTGAGTATTATTAAAAATCATGTTATACCCAGCTGGGACCTGCACCTAGAGTACCAGAATGCAGACAGGTCAATATTTTCTCTCTGTGCTAAACAACTCTGCCTGTTTATAGTATCAACTTCCATCACAGGCTTTGTTCTATTTTTTTTTTAATTTTTCTTTTTTTAAAAAATAAATTTCAAGTTAAAACACCTGAAATAGAATCCCTCCATCCAAACGTTATCTGGTCCCTCATAAAAGTTTGCCCCCTGAGGACACATACAAAGGCTTAAGCTACATTCACTAATCAGTAAGAACTTATCACAAGCAGATGAGACAGATGGAACTTCAGCACCCTGTTTGATTTATTTGAAATTCTTCCATACTGACTCAGCTGCATGATATGTTCAATCCCTCAAGGCTTAATGCCTCTCCTAGCCATTGATTCTAGAAAGTCAAGGAAACCAGTTCCTAGTACATACAGTGACACTTGTGGTCAACAAAGTCAACATTATTAAATATTAAAAGTATTCAAGATGTATGTAAGCCATCCAACATCAAGTTCTAGTTGTGCTTTGTACAACTGAGTGAGCAAATTTATCTATCTCACAACTCTACCTACCAGACCTACTAAGCACACTTCACTTTCTCCTTCTTATCTGAAATCAAGTCAAATTCAGGCAGTATTTCCTTGATGTCAATGAAGCCAATTTAAAATGAAAATAATTTAGTAAAATAATTACTACATGTGGTCTCCATTATAATTTACTTGCTTTAAAAAAATCTGTTGCTATTCTGGAAAAAAGTAATGGATATTTTGGCATACTTTATATACTAATGTTGGGATGAGGATAAAATCTCATGTAAAACTTGAAATAAATATATTTACTCCAATTACTTTTCATTCCATACTTATCCATGATAAAAAGAATAAAATAAGGTTTTAGCCCATTTTTAAATTAACTGGGCTAGGCAAATCTAATTTCTTGGTTATTTTTCTTTTACAGCTATTTTTTAAGGCTAGCTTCGAGGTGCTAAAATATTTCAATCAATGAAAAGCTTCTAAAGTTACATGATTTGAAGACAGGAGAAAGACCAAAAAGCCAGTTGATAATTAACTGATGAGGGAATTTCATTAAGTTGCTAACACCCAAACTGGGTCATTTTTAAAAGTGCAAGTTACACCTAACATTTACAAAGAATATAATGTAAATATAATCCAAATAAATATACAACTTTTGTATTAGGTCAGTGAGAAAAAATATACCAACAGTTTTCAGGGCTATAAAGGCAACAAAATAAAGCCTCTTGAAAATAACTGAAAGGCATGTGACCACTATTTCTAAAGCCCACTTTAATTCAAAATCCTAACTTTAACATATATTAGCCTTATATAATCCTACAAAATGAAGCAGCCTTTGATCTTCAAAATAGACAAGAGACCTATTTATGCTAATAGCTGACTCTAGCAGATCACAGAATTACAAACCTATTAAATATAAAAAGAAAACCTAGATTGAAGTCACTTCAAGTAAAAGCATCCTGCTTTAAACAAACTTGTTTGTTCCTAAGCCTTTGTATGACTCCACATGCCACCCCAAAAGGTTAAAAGATAGTAGGGATTAGTCCTGAGAGACAGATAAGCTTCAGCCAGATGACGTCTGATGGGACAGGCTGCCTAACTGGTATTGTGCTTTCAGAGACTAGCACTGCCGCTGACTACTGTCAAAACACACTTTCTGACAAAATCCCTGCTCAAATGAAACATCAACATTCCTCCCCCAGGATGATTTTTGAAAAGTCAGTGGTTCCTTATAAAAGCTATCTTTAAAATGGTCTTACCACTGTTATAGCTGCCGGAGACAAAGCATAAAAACCAAATACTTTTAGTGGGGGAAGTTTTCAAGTGACTCGACTAGTTAACATATTTGAAAGAATCAAGCCAAAGAAAACTAACAATAAAATAAAATACTTGGAAGAAAATTCGCAGATAAAAAAATCAATCATGAGTGCTGAAGTAATGCAGTCATAGAAACTACCAGAAGGGAGGCAACAGAACACACAGAAATGTAAAATTTCATCTGACCTCAATATACTATAATACTCAGCATTCCTGACTTAAGAGCTCTCAGAGCTTTAGATTATATACTGTATGTATATGTATGTACACATATATTATACAAATGCCACCCCCCAAGATATCTAAATGAACAGAGCACCTATGACAATATATAGTTGCCAATATGGTACTTGAGTTTGAAAAAGAATGAACTTAAAATCGTATCTGATACCAGTTTTTTAATAATGAACACATTGGATCTAGCCCTTTCTAAACCACTTTGCAGTTAAACACTATCAAAGCTCAAAACTCATTAAGAGTAAGATATCAAAAATAAACCCCTCCCCAGTTCATTTTTATTAGTTAATCTGTCCTATAGATAAAAGTGCCACATGGCCCTATATTTGCAAAGTGAGCAATACCAAACTTGCTATTTTCTAGGCAAATCAGTAGCATATGTACAAATTCCTATGATGACATTTTCATTCCCTTTTGGCCAACATGAAGAGAAAAACATTACTGGTAACGTGGCCACATATGTTCTTGGCTGGCTATAGGATTTTTTTTTTTAAATTATCTCATTTTCTTAATAAAGGTTCTCAAAGTTTCATGCTTAGAAACAAACACCTCCCCCCCCAATTCTCATATTTTAAAAAAAAGTCTGCATAAAAGATGCTTGATTTCTGTTTGTATAAACTGAAATCTTCAAGTCTTTCCAAGGGTCTAAACAGACTTAGCAACAGGATACATTCCTCACCTCACTGTTCAATAACTGACTTCAAACCAGTGCAATCTTCCTCTAGGTATAAAGGGCCAGGTCTTTATAACTTAAAAGCCATCCAGCTTAATATGAATGTGATTGCCTTGATTCATCACAGGGACTAAGAGGACCACCAACTTCCTAATAAAGTAGAAAGCTTCAACTTTTGAAAAACAGACTTTAGAGAATACAAATCTCTAAATGCCAGGCAATTTTTCATTTATAAAACATGACATTCAAAATGTTCAATGGTATTTTGACTCAATAAACAAATAATTCCAGTTTGTGAACAGATTTGTAACTTTGCTTGGTTTGTATTAAACTAGTTTTAGAAAATGACATATCTATGCTGGTATACAAACAATTTTTATGCTATAACTTTCCCCATTAGCTCAGCAGGACAAACATCAAACTTTACAGTCGTTTGAAAGCCTTCTTGAGAATCTGGTGAATTGTCCAAACATAAAGACTACATCACTCAATTCTTAGAATGATGTTCCTTCATAAACTCTGTTCATCCTTGAAAAAAGACAATGGTTTGTTACAAACAAAAATATATCATTTACAAATATTAATTAAAAACTCTTTAAAATGGACCCAATAATTAACATTTAAGCTGCACATTTTGTTATATTATTAACCCATGACTAAATATAAAACATTAACTTTCTCAATTTCTTGACTCTTGAGAATTTCCTTCTCAAATGAGAAATCATAATCTAACATTATGCCAGTCTCCAATTAAATCTACCTTAGTGGTCTTATCTTTGTTTGAAAAGTTTTAAAGGGTAACTTTCAGATTTATCAGACTTAGTGAATAAGGTAATAATTATGAGGAAACAATGTATGATACATACAAATATAGACTGTTATAGTCAGGAATTAAAATAGGTAGCTCCTTTAAAAATGACAAAGGCAACAGAGCGTATTGGAAAGCTAAAACATAACTACCCTTTTTAGAGAACAAAAAAGAATGTTTTGTACAAGAATGACAATCTAAATATAGTATAGCAGTCATTCAAATATGTCTGTAGAAAACTGCTTTCCTTGTATACATCTAACACTATACTTTTTAGAACCATATCTTTACAACTTCATTTAAAAAATTCACTAGAGATTCTCGAAGTTTATTAATGTGGAAGGATTTTAAATCGGTATTTTTCTACAACATGTAACATTTGATAAACAAATATATCACTTTGCTTTAACTTCTTGAAGGCTTTCCTGTTGGTGGTGTAATGTAAGTGCAAAGGATAACAGTAAATTAGAAAATTTTTTAAGTAAATGAGTGACGATATAAATATTTTTGAAAGCGAGGACAGAAACATTTATTTAAAAACCTTGTTTATATAACTCAAGGGGTTGATTACTAATCATCTTTTTACTAAGAATTTAGTACTAACTAAAATAAGCTTTGTACTTTTATTTACTTAGATTTAATTTAAAATTCAAATACCATGCTTTTTCATTTAGTTGATTACTTCTTTTAATGTATTCAAAAATGTTGAACACATACAGAACTGAGTTAAGAAGCAACAACTGACCTAAGGAAGAGCTGTTGTTAATACAGAATGTTTTTAAGAACCAAGGACAAATTTTCAGTACTAAAGAGAACATACATAGAAAGCACTCGGAATTCATTCCTGATTTCTTCAACACCATCCTATAAAATTCTTTTCTAGAGGGTATGTCTGTTAACAGTTTTACATAATTGATGATGAAAATGTGAAAACATGTGAATTTGGCAATCAACACTTCTTCATTGTACCTTACTTACTTTATGCATGCGGCCCACACATTACTTCAGCTCAGAGGCTGGGGTAATTCTGTCCCTAAGGCAATCAAGGAGCTCAGCACAAACCTTGAAATCATTTTTTAAAAGATTTCCTTTTTCTTATTTCCCCCCTCAATTTACAAGTAAACGAATTATTACTTCTTGAAGAGGGTGGGAGTTGAAAAGCAGAGAAGTCTCTTCATGATTCCTGGTGCTGAAAATTTCTTGAGGGGAGAAGTGGAGGCAGGTGTTGGACATTCACAGTTTAATGCAAAAGCACAAATGAATGAAATTCTGAAGTTGCTTTCAGGCAGTTTTGCGCATAGAAAAAAAGAAATGTTTAGAAAATAAAATGTTTATTTTGTCTTTCCGGTTGTGGCCAAGCCAGTTCATTTTCCACCTTAACAGGTGAAAATTTAAATCCCAAATTAATCTGATTTGTGGCAGTAAAGGTCCTTAAGTGCTTTTAGCTCCTCAATCAATGTCTTGTTTTGGTTTTCAAGTACTGCCACTCTGTTTTCTAAACATTTCACATATTCTTTCTTCTTTCTGCGACACTCTCGCGCTGCTTCCCTGCAAACAAAAAAAGACAGGGAGAAATTATGAAAACGATTTCTGTATCATTTATTTTGAGTTAGAGCACTTTATTCTGTCTTTTTTTTGAGACAAGAGTCTCATTCTGTTGCCCTGGGTAGAGTGCCATGGCATCATAGCTCACAGCAACCTCAACCTTGTGGGCTCAAGAGGTCTCTTGCCTCAGCCTCCTGAGTAGATGGGACTATAAGGCCTGCCAAAAATACCCAGCTAATTTTTCTATTTTTAGTAGAGATGGGGTCTCACTCTTGCTTAGGGTGGTCTGGAACTCCTGAGGTGAAGTGATCCACCTGCCTCGGCCTCCCAAAGTGCTGGGATTACAGGCATGAGCAGCCACACCTGGGTTACTTTTTAAATGAGAAATATGATAGCTCAAAGCCGCAAACATTGAACATATCAGACACTGGAAAAACAGATAGAAAGATTTGGAAATGATCTTATGTTAAATTTTCATACACCATAGAAAGTTAATTTGAAAAAACAAACATGCAGGGCATTTAAAAAAACCTAACAGGACAGTCTCTTTAGCAAATAGTGGTGGGAAAACTGGATATCCACATGCAAAAGAATGAAGTTGGACCCTTACCTTATACCATATACAAAAATTAACTCAAAATGGATCAAAGACCTAAATGTAAGATCTAAAACGCTATAACCTCTAGAAGAAAACATAAAGACAAAGCTTCCTGACATTGGATTTGGCAGTAACTTTTTAAATACATCAAAAGCACAGAAAAGATGACATAAAATTTAAAAACTTCCACACAATAAACAGTGAAAAGATAACTATAGAATGAGAGAAAAGATCTGCAAATCATGTATTTGACAAGAGAACATACAGAAATCCTCACAATTGAACAATAAAACAACACAATTAAAGACTGACACAGAACTTGAATAGGCACTTCTCCAAAGGAGATATACAATGGCCAATATGCATATAAAAAGATGCTCAACAAGACTAATCATTAACCCAGTGGTTTTCAACCTGTGGGTTGTGACCCCTTGGGGGTCAAACGATCCTTTCAAAGGAGTTGCCTAAATACATCCTGCATATCAGATATTTACATTATGATTCATAACAGTAGCAAAATGACAGTTATAAAGTAGAAACAAAAATAATGTTATGGTTCGGGGTCACCACAACATGAGGACCTGTATTAAAGGATCACGGCATTAGGAAGGTTGAGAACCACTGACTTAACCACTAGGATACCTATTATCTCGAAAACTACCACTACCACCACCGCCACCAGCAAGTACCAATTGTTGATGACAGTGTGAAGAAATTAAAATTCTGGTGTACTGTTGGTGGGGTCAGTGGGAATGTAAAATGGTGCGGCTGCTATAGAAAAGGATCAGGGTTCATAAAAAAATTAAAACAGAATTTACCATATGTTCCAGCAATACCACTTCTGGCTACATATCCAAAAGAAATGAAAGGAGGGTCTCAAAGAAATATATGCACACCCACGTTCACTGCAGCATTATTCATAATAGAGAAGAGGAAGACTTACGACCTAAATGCTCAGCAATAGGAAATGGATAAACAAAATGTATTTAACATACAATGGAATATACAGCATGGCCATAAAGTTTGTGTGTAATTTAAACTAAAAATAAAACTAAATTTAAATTTAGTTTAAATTGCACATGAATTTCATGGCCACCCTGAAGGAAGGCAGGCCTCTTGTAAGCTACAACATGGATGCACCTCAAGGGCACATGCTCAGTAAAATAAGCTAGTCTCAAAAAGACAAAGACAATTTATAATTCCACTTATGAGATATCTAAAGTAATCAAATTCATAGACACAGGACTTAGAATGGTGGTTGCCAGGGGTAATGGCTAGGGAAGGGGGAAATTGGAAGTTTGGAAGTTGTTTAGTAGGTACAAGTTTCAGTTTTTTAAGTTTTGGAAATCGGTTATACCACAATGTGAATATATTTAACACTACTAAATTGTTTAAGATGGTAAATTTTAATTAATGTTTTTTAAACTACAATGAAAAAATTATTTAAAAAATTAATACATATTAAAACTATTTACATATTTAAATAGTACATTAAATAGTATTTAAATAGTTACATAATGAAACTATTTTTCTTTAGCAAGCTAAGTCTAAACTAATAAGTTCTTTTTTTAGCTTTACATGGTCAAGGGCCACATCTTACTCTTTATAACCTCAGCCAGTAGCAGAGGGAGTAAAACAAGGTGGGTTCTTGTTGAATGAACATAAGAGTTGAAAAAAAGCAAGATTGTTTGTCTTTAAAAATGAAAAATGTAGCAATTTATAATCATTCATTTATATCAAGGGAAATGTAGTATAGCAGTTAATATCTTTAGTGTTAAGATTCCTGGGTTTAAGTGGTTCTGCCTCTTACTGATTATGTAAGGGACAAGAAAATTATTTCACTTTTCTGACTATGAAAAAGACATGGTAATATCATCTATCTCAAAAGGTTTATGAACATTAAATGAATAAATATATGTAAAGCACACAAACAGTACCTGGCATTTTGTCAATGTGTTAGCTACTATTATTCCTAGAAAATTCAAATGGTGTAGCAATACTATAACTCCCTTAATGTCTTCATCCTCACATGGTCTGTCCTCATACGGCCTGTTTCAGAAAGAATAGCATCTGATTCTAATGCAAGCAGACTTTGGAATAAAACATCCTGTACCTAATGTATTATCCATGATACAGACAATATGCAATCAATAGTATTGCTTAACCACTGGAAGAAATGGATTAAAATGGCCCAACACTTCACCAAACAGTGAAGACAACAGGTGCTTTGGGGTCAAGAGGAAAATGGTGATCTAGAAAAGATTTGCAGTGGGAATGATTTAGAGATCACTTTGGATATTTTATATTTGGTGAATTAGCAGGCGTCCTCAAACTATGGCACATGGGCGACATGTGGCCCGCCTAGGACATTTATCCGGCCCACTGGGTGTTTTTGCCGCCGCTGCCTGTCCTGCTTAGCAGCTGACTGGTCCTGGGGCCTGCAGTCTGGCCCTCCAATGGTCTGAGGGACAGTGAACTGGCCCCCTGTTTAAAAAGTTTGAGGACCCCTGACAGAGAACATGTAGGATGAATATACACTTACAAATCTAATTTCAGACAGGGCTGACTGATTTATTTACCATGCTTTCTCCTCTTCGTTACCTGAAAATATGTCCTTAAGTTCAGTATTCATATGAATGGTATAGCTACATGCTAATTTCTAAAATTAAATTAATACAATCCTGTGGTTATCTCTTAACCCTGTTTCACCATAATCAGTATTAGTGTGCTGCAAAAGATTAAAGTATGTGATTCTCAAAAGAAAAAAAATATAAAACATTAGGCTAAGAAAATCAACTTATTTCTTTAATGCAAGATCTTTTGGATCCTTTCAATATATTAAAGTTAGTTGAGATTCTCTATAAAAGCCTGTGTAGTATGTCTACATTTGACTATACACAGGGTGTCCCAAAGGTTACACATAAATTCATCATAATGAGACAGGACAATTAGGTTTTAAGTTCACAAACTCATCTAGAAAAAGTGCCACATCCCTTATACATACGGAAATTTTTACAAAGTGGCCAACACTTTTAAAAGATATTTTGGAAAATTCCTTAAGGAGTATTTTGTAAAGAAAGGTACATTTAGCTACAATTTCTCATTTTCTCTATGTGTGGCGACTTTACAGGTAACCTTGAGATACCCTGTAATAAATACTTCATTTGACTATATAAGATTAATATTTCTTTTAGGGGGAGATGAGGAAGGTGAAAAAATTTCAAATAACCCTGTGTTGCGGAATGATGCTCAAATTAGTCACAGTTTAAAGTAAGTAAACTCGGATACAAATTTAATAAAATACAATACACTAGGAATTGAAAATTAGAGTTTTAGACTTTGGTTTAGGTCCCTTCCCATTCAAGGACCACCTCCTGAAGGTGTTTGAAGAAACCTATTTGAAGAAAAAAAAAGTCATGAACATTTCCCAAACCCAGGTACTGGTACTGGTTAGCTTTATCTTAAGGAGTAATGCAAAGCCGAGAATAAATGTGGCATGTCATTCTTAACCACCTATTTTAGTTGATGGGGTGGTAGGCATTATCACAGTAAAATACACAGCACTGTCTTTCAGAGTAGAATACAAAATTCAAATGAACTTTAAACATTTAAAAGAAATTTCTAGCATGGAGGGTACCTCTTAAAGTTTCTCCAAAATTATATAAATATTTTTAAGCACAGAAGCGAATGAAAGGACCTTCCCAGTGGATTGGTCCTGAGACTCGTCTGAAGATTAGGCTGACCTCTGATGTTCTTTTTTTTTTTTTTTCCTAGTATGGCAATTGAATTTCATGATTCTAAACATTCGGGTAAACAGATGACTTATAAATTTTTAAACTAATCTGGTAGACATATTTTCCCAAAATAGTTCTTTCACATAAATTTGTTTCAACATCCTCCTACCACCTTTACTGATTTTTTGCCTGCCTTAATCTGTTTTGTGTTCTGATAAACAGAATATAGGCTGAGCATCCCAAATTTGAAAACCCAAAATGCTTCACATCTGAAATACTGATTGCTGTTATAAAGTTCAAAAGGAATGCCCAATTTCAGATTTGCAGTGCTCAACTGGCAGTATAATGCAAATGTTAAAAAACCTGAAATCCAAAACATTTGGTCCCAAGCCCTTTCAGATAAGGGTTACTCCACCTGTATTCACAAGGTAGGTAATTTATGCAGAAATTTATTTCTCACAGTTCTGGAGCCTAGAAGTCCAAGGCCTAGGGGTCTGCATCTGGCAAGGGTCCTTCTGCTCCATCATCCCATGCTGGAAGGTAGAAGGGTAGGAGAGTAATTGCGTGCAGGGGAGCAAGAAAGAAGGGAGATGAATTTATCCTGTTTATTAGGAACCCACTCCAGGGATAAGTAATCCAATCTCTAGTCCCATGATAACAGCATTAGATCA